TCACGGGGCCGGGGGTCACGGGGTCACAGGTGGGGGGCGGATTGCGGGATTCAGGTGGCCTCCTGTCTTGACCCACTGAGACGGCCCCTTGGCAGGACCCCCGTCGCCAGGACAACGGGACAGTGGGGACCGGGGACGGTGAGCACCCAAGGAGGGCGGACTCGGGGTTTCTTACTTTGCTTTTCTTCTTCTATTTCTTATTTTTTATTGATTTCAGAGAGGAAGGGAGAGGGAGAGACAGAAACATCCAGGATGAAAGAGGATCATGGATCGGCTGCCTCCTGCACGCCCCCCACTGGGGATCGAGCCCGTGCCTGTGCCCTGACCGGAATCGAACCTGGACCCTTCGGTCCACAGGCGGATGCTCTACCCACTGAGCCACACCAGCCGTTCTTTTTTTCTACTTTTTAAATGTGAAACCCCGAGTCTTTAATTTTAATCTCTCCTCTGGCGAATAGAAGTGTTTACTGCTCTGAGTTTCCTTCCAAACACTGCCCCCGTCCGCAGGTGTTGTATTTTATGGTTCCATTAAAAGTGTCTTTAAGTTCCCCTGTTTGGGTTGGAGCCATGAGTTAAAAGTGCGCTATTGAATTTCCCCAGATTGGGAGTGTCTGTGGAACTCCTCTGGGCAGTGATTTCTGACTGAGTTCCGCTGTGGTCAGAGAGTATGTTCTGTGTGATGTGTTATCCCTCACGTTGGTGGAGGCAGCTTGAGAGCCTGTGGTGGGTCTGTCCGCCTGCATGTTCCGTGTGCACATGAAAATGTGTGTTCTGCTGTTGCTGGGGAATGTTCCGGAAACGCCATTGCGAGCCGGGTGCTTGTATGAGGGCAGTCTTTTTTTTAAATTTTTTTTATTGATGAAGTTATTACATATGTGTCCTTATCCCCATGTTACCCCCTACCCCCCAAGCGCAGTCTTCCCGCACTTCTGTCTCGTTGTTCTATCAGCTGCTACGGGGGTGGTGGTCCCTCCTGGTAGGACGGGAAACCATCCGGCCCACCGTCCAGTCTGTCAGTTTCGCACGCGGAGCTGGGCTGCGTCGGGCGCACACATTGGCTTTATGCTTCCTGATGAGCCGCCCCTCTTATCATTATGAAATGTCTCTATTGCTGGTACTAATCCTTGGTTTGAAGTCCATTTTACCTGATATTAAAGTAGTCACCTAGCATGTCAGTTATGCTCGAATAAAATGGGGTGGGTGGGGCGGGATGAAATAAAATAGCCACACGGGCCCTCTTACGCTTACTGTCTATATGACATATCTTTTTAGATTAATTTCGTCTTCATATTTAAAGCGTTTTTTCGGTAGGCAATATTTAAGAGGGCTGGTTTTATTTTATCCACTCAGTCTATCTCAGCCTTTTAATTGAAATATTTAAACCATCAACACTTAGTGTAATTACTGAAATGTTTAGAGGTAGGCCTACCCCTTTATTATTCGGTTTTTATCATCCCCTCTGATTTTCTTCTTTCCTTCCTCATTCACTAATTTAGCATCAGTTCCTCCACATATATTTCTTGAATATCTGTTATGTGCAAGCGTTTTTCTAGGCATCAGCCCTGGTCCCGTTCTCAAGGGGCTTCTATTACAACGGGGGTGAGAGACCACCCTAACCGACCAGGGCTTGTGAGGCCAACTTCCGGTGTAGCCAGGGTGTGAAGGAAAATAAAGCAGTCTAAGGGAGAAGGATTGAGGACGGGACGAGGGAGTCAGGGAAGGCCTCTTGGAGGAGGTGCCCCCGGAGCCAGCAGATCTGCATGAAAGGAGGGAACCAGCCTCACAAGGAGCCACTAGCAGAGGGACCTGTAAGTGCAAAGGCAGGGAGGCGAGAATGAGACAGGAGGTGAGTCAAAACTCGAAGTTCAGGTACGTTGGCTGTCTCCCCACCCAGCTCTGACCTTCGCCCTTCTCCCCGGCCACTTCTGAGCCGCAGGTGGCAGTGAAAAGGCACCTGTGTGGAGGCTGTGGCCGCGCTGCAGCTGGGCTCCCTGGGGGCCCCGCCCACTGCCAGGCCCTCCATTAGGCCGGGTCTCCCCGACGGACACCCTTCAGCCCAGGCGTGTGGGCGTTGTTAACAAGCCCCCCACTCTCCCAGAGGCCCCTCTGGAGTAAAGGCCTGTTCCTGGCTCCCCTCCCCCCTCCCCCACCCTGACAAGCCCACACCAGGCTCCCTGTGCTCTGCCCAGCGGGGCGGGGCCTTCCCAGCATCATGCTCAGAGCTGCCCCAGCCAACGGCACCAGCTTCTGAGCCTCCAGGAAGGTCCCGCCACCTGCAAGGGGTGCAGTTGGGGGGGAGGGGACACGCCACAGCACATTTGGGGGATCCCAAGGACACGCTCCCACCCACCTCCACCCTGGAGAGGGTGCAGGGCACGGCTCGCCCACAGGCCCTCAAGGGTGACCCAGCCGCCGCTGCCTGCCACCCTCGGTGCTGTCCTGGGCCTTGCGGTCTCCTGGTCGTCTAGGGCTGCAGGCCAGAGCCTCGGGGCCTGGTTATTTCACTTGTACCAGCCAGACCTTTTCCAACGTGGGCACCAGGTTACAGTGGACTGGAGGGGGGGCAGGGAGGCACTCACCTGGGGTGCAAAATTTAAGGGGGGCGGGCAACCAAAACCTCAGTAAGCAAAGACAAATCATAGTTCTTATTGAGGCGAAGTTCACATAAAATTAACCGTTTGAAAGCACACAATTCAGGACATTTAGCACATGCACAGTGCTGTGTTCCCGTCACCACTAGGGGTTCCGCAGCCTTCCTGTCACCCGCCAGGAAACCGGTCCCCGTGGCGGCGCTCCCCTCACGCTCCCCCAGCCGGACATAGGTTTCAGTTTCTCTGGGCCCTTGCCAGCAGCCGATTTACCTGTTTTCCTGGTCAGCCTACCCGATGTGAAGTGGCACTTCATTGTGGTTGTGACCTGCATTTCCCTGTTGACTAATAATGTGGAGCATTTTTTTTTAATCTTCACCTGAGGATATGTTTCCATTGATTTTACAGAGAGGAAGGGAGGGGGAGGGGGAGGGAAGGGAAAGGAGGAAGGAGGGGGAGGGGGAGAAACATCAGTCAGGTGCCTGACCAGGGATAGAACCTGCAACCTGGCATGTGCCCGAACCGGAACCAAACCTGAGGCCTTTCCATGTACTGGACCCTGCTCCACCCCACGGCGCCACGCACGCCAGGGCAGAGGGGCCGCTTCTCAGTGCTCACCGGCCATTTCTAGGTTTTCTTTGGAGAATGTCTGTCTCCTCACATGCTTTGCTTGATTTCAAGCTGGGAGGTTTGCGTTTGCTGTTGCGTTTGCTGTTGCGTGGTGAGGATTCCTCGTGTGCCCTGGACTCTGGGCTCTTGGCCGTCTGTGATCTGCAGGGCTCTCTCCGGTCCCACAGTTGTCTTTTCACGTCCTTGATGACGTCCCTGGATGCAAGAAGGTTTTTCTAATTTTGGTGAAATCCATTTTTTCAGTTTTCTTTTGTTGCTTGTCCTTCGGTGTCGTATCTAAGAAACCCGCTGTCTGATCCAACATCACAAGGGTTTACCCCTCACTTTTCTCCTAAGAGTTTTATAATTTCATCTCTTACATGAGACAAGTAGTACATTAATACAATATTTTTGAAAATCAAAAATTAAGGCAAAAAAACCATAGTGAACAAAAATATCAACATTTTAACCTGCCCTGAGCTGCTCACCCCTTGCCTCCTGCGCCCTGGGGAGAGGTGTGTGTGTGTGTTAGGGGGTGGGGGTAGATTAAATTCGGAGATGGGGGGAGGTGGCTAGAGGTTTGGGGCTGAGGGCGGAGCTCAGGCTGCAAGTCCTCGAGAGGGAGCTGGGATGGACGGACACTGGAGGATAAGTCGCCTGGGATGTTGGCCAAAACGACCTCTGTGCGCGCCTGGCTTCCTAGTGGAACTACGAGGCGCTTCAGTGACAACTGCCCAGGGCTCCTCTGCCCCCAGGGGCTCGGCAGCCGCCTGGGCCAGGGGGTCCCCAGCAGGGAGGGGCCCTTCGGTGGTGGTGGGGAGCGGGAGTTGGGGGGCGAGACCGCCTGGAGGACAGGAGCGCGGAGGCGAACGCACCGCGGCGCACACCAGAGTGAGCCCTGGAGCCGGCCTGGCCCCGCAGCCCCAG